TGTACATGGCGTATGAGTTACTCAGACAAGATGAGAATGTTACTCATACGCCATGTACGTACGTATGTACATCCTGTTTTATCATTTTCATGATATAGACAGCTCCAATAAGGATCCACCATTAGGAATTTCCAAAATGCCACATACAGCTGCTTCTATTCAAGCACGCATTTACTTCTGCATTAGCGTAATTCCATGCAAACGTAGAAAACGACAAACATACATTTCAGCAGAAACCTATAGCTACATATCGAGGGCTTATACAAGACAAATTACTGATTTCTTGCATTTTCAACTTTTCGCTGTCAATATTATTGAAAAGCAATTTCATTTTTTTCTAAAGCCAATACAACCGTGTGCGCGATTGTACTTCCAACCAGCTCTATTCCTCAACGTAGATTTTTAATTTCCTTTTTCGCGAGTTCCTCCACCCAATAAACAGAATATTATTTTCAAAAATTTGTTTGTATCTCGCTTTAAGATTTCCCGATGTATTAAAGTATGGAACTAAATTTATGTAATATTTTCCAAATCGTTGTGCAAATTCTTCCTTGATTACTGCTTTCCTTCATATTTACTCATCGTAAGTCAGTTCCGCGCCACATTGAGTTTGCACCAGTTTAATCAATTTTTAGGATCTTTCTTCTTACCCTTAAGTTTGGTTGTCACTTCACTAGACTTTTCCAGGGCTTTGATACTAGCATCGAGCTTACTTTCTATTTCCAACATGCTTTTACGTAACGCTCGAAGCTTTTCTCTTGTCTAACAATATTTAAAAAAGGATTAATAGAAATTGAACGTGAAATTCTGCGTATATACATACATACTCTCTCTCTCTCTGCAATAACGAAACAACTCAAATTATAAAAAAATTTAGTAGAGAAAATAAAGTTTGCGTTTTTTGGAACGTAATGACGCAATCGTATTGGTAAAAAAGTAAACAAATGTCGATTATCCACAGAAAAATATGGTTATTTTTTCAACCTAATCCGTTATACATATGTACATATGTATATTTTAAATATACATGCATATGAAATTTTGAGTTATGTGGTTATTGCAGAGGACCATTGATATGTACATATGTATATATGTATTTGTACCTCCTTCATGTGGTAGATATCTTCTTCCGCTTTTTCTTTATCCCAAAAGTCGACTTGGCGTCTGGTGATTATGAAAATATTTTAAATAGAAAGATATAAGTATTTATTGGACATTGAATACAACTTACTTTATGGTTTTTAATATGCCAATTCTGCCCCTCAATTTCAAGACTCTACCACACTGGGCATGAAGCATAATTTATGGAAAGTTTCGTTTTTTCTCAATTTTGCCAAATTAGAAAGATATTATTTAGGAAGTTAGTAGACACTTTTATCGATATTTGTACAGAAATTTCTATTGTTGATGTTTATTAAAAAGAAAACATCAACATTTTGATGTGAGCTTAAGAGTTTCCAGCAATTATTAAAATTTATAAGCATGGTTTTACGCTTAAACGTTTGCAAAAGTGCCAAGTAAAAGCTTTGTAAGTGAGTGAACTAGTATGTAAAGCACCAGAAATTAATTTAACAAAAATAAACCTTAACTCAATTATTTGAACTTACTTCATCGATATACATATGTATATGCATACATATATGTATGCACATGTTCCCGAGATGGTGATTTCCAAAACTTAAGTCAACTGACCTTATCAGCATACAAAATAAAGAAAAACATTTCACAGCTTGATGGTGATTCCCACCACATAGATAGAGATGCTCAGGGCACAGTATAAAAGCTTGCTAAAACGCTATCAGTTAAAACAAACACTTCCCAGCTTTAAAATAGCACACAAGCTCGTAAAAAACGCGTAAAAGCCCAATAAATAATTTTTTATTATATTCAAAATTACACAAAAATTATAAACATGAAAGTTGTTGCGCTTTTTGGTATACTGCTGATAATTGCTGCCATCATCTTGAATGGCGCCACAGCTTCACGCGACGCACGCCCCGTGCGTCCAAGTATTAGCGCGCCTTCACCGAGAAGGGAGCGACCTATTATTTATGATGCACCAATAAGGACAGGAAAACCGAAGACAATGTACGCTTAGTAACAAAATAGAATAGTTGCAATTCGAAAGATTAAAAATAAATAAAACGGACTAGATTCCTAAATTAACCCAAACATACATTTATTTTTCGTTATTTTATTTATTCATGAATTTATAATACGTACATGTATTTCATTTAAAACTTTCACATTCTATTAATATAAAAGTGTAGACAGATTAACAAAAAATAACCAAATACTTGAAAAAATGCAAAATATTAATTTTTATCAAATCTTAGAATAATTCTGAAAAGCCTTTAACAGCATTTATAACGCTGTGTCATCTTGTTGCTATCATTGAATGACCCGCTCAACCTTTGCAAGTTGGGGTTGTCTGCTTTACTTCTTAATGTTTGCAAGGAATTCCTTATGACGTTGGATGGCTTTTTCATGCTCTTTGATTTGTTGAGCATGGAATTCAGCTTGCTGGATTTGATCGTTCTTCAAGAGTTTGAGTTGTTCTCTTTGCTGCAAATGTTAAGATTTCACAAATTAGTCTACATGAACGCTATTTTTAGCAAGTTTATTTGTATGTATGTATGTATGTATATAAGTTCAACGTTTCATGTATGTGATTTCTAGCACATAAGTCTATACAAATTGGCAACAAACAGATTACGTCACGGCCAGCTATGTTTTGGTAAAACAAAGCCAAGCCTCTTGCCGTCCAACATATGTATATAGATGCACATACATACATACATACAACACTTGAATCAATACAATTTGCATATTTACGATGCATATAAATTTGCAAGAAGTTAAAAGGGCAATCATTGGCCAGATAGTAAAATAATGCATTTACCTTGTTATAAAAGTATTCTTCTTCATGCGCTGCCTCCAATTTACCAAAAGCACCACCAGCTTCGCGAATGGATCCACCACCGCCGCCACCCTTGCCGGCGCCACTGCCTAAATCACCAACTTGGCTGTCACTCATCTTAGCCAATCTGAAATTTGAAAACAAAAACTTACAACATAATAAACTGGTGAGCAATAAAAACGCATATGCGCTACAAATATTACATAACCACTAACGATAATTTAAGAACTTTGCCGAACTTTCGAATTCGCACGCTATTTGTCTATTTGTTTCTCGATATTAAAACAAAAATTAAATACATAGTAAGTAAAGGTGGTATTCTGCGCAATTTTTTAATACGCATGCAAAAAGAAAATCTAAAAAAATGCCGGTCCCTTTGTGTGATTTCGGAGACGTGATGACTGTGCAATACTTACTGCATTCCCTTGGGATAAATGCACGCTGCGCTGCGACGTACTACGAACATCTTGTTTTGGTTTGAAAAAGAATCTGGTTTTTAAACTCTAAAAATATAAGAAAATTAAAAATATTTATTAGGTAGTCATATGATTAGGAATACTTAGAAATCATGGGAAATGTAGTCTTCCTTTCTATGAAGGCTTTTTACTTTGATTAAGGGTTATATTTATATATCCCATACGTAGCTAATTGCATTTACTTTAATTATAATTTACTTTACATATCTTATTGGCAAAAAATTTTTCACAAAAACTTACCACTTGTCACTTCTGCAGTAAAAAATTGAATGTCAAATTTTTGATCGCGGAGTTCTAGGAAATTGGGGCTGGAACTAGGGCTGCCAGCAGCAAAAAATTCTAGCATTGGCTTCAAAAAAATTACCAATTTTGGAGAATATCTACCAATAACTATTTTAGTTGTTTTAATAAAAAACTATAGTTTTGTTCTATTATTTTATACATTTTATTGTATAAGAATATTGTTTGAAAATTAACCAAACGCATACAAATCAGGGACAATAGGACAAAATTTCCATAATTTGCCGTCTAATTTTGAACTTTTTACTCTGAATTTAGTATAACAACGTGCAGCAAAATTTTTTTGTTAATTTTTTTTTTTAATTTTTTTGCCGCCGGTCTTTCGGTTTTTTTATTTTTTATTTAACAATTATCACTTATAAAAACCGCGTTGATTTTTTCTAATTTTCCTGTTATCAATCATAGTGTGCAATTACTTCGCTGCCCATTTTTTCCTTTTTTAAGGAATTATTTAAATAATTTAGGCAGGCAAATGCCCTCAGGAGTGTAGCTTCACCTTTGGAAAGAAATAGAAAAACAAAGATATTTAACTACGAAAAATAAAGCGGGAACGAAAAGTTTTATTTGTTTTTGAAATAAAATACTTTAACAAAAATGTTCAGAAATGAAAAAAATCTATCTCTTTACAAACCCAAATTTTTCCTGGCAATTTTGGTAATAATTTGGAGAGATGGCAACCCTGACTGGAACGCTGGAATTCCAGGCAGATGATTTTCTTTTCACTGCCGGTAGAGGTCGCAGATTTTGTGACAGAGTTGCACATTTCATAAATTTCATTTTCAGGGAATTTATCTGAATGCGTGGATACCTCAGACCTGTGCAAACGTCGGAAATAAGCCGGTTTTCCAATCAAAATTTAGTATGTTTACGAGGTTTACGTTGTTACGAGACATATATGCGTTTATATGAATTGCCTATTATCAAAAAAAAGAACACATTGCGCGTCTCCATAGGCAAAAGTTTTTGCTTTTATAATAAAATATCAATAATGTTGCCGCCACGAAGTTATCGCTCAAATAAAAATGTAGCTGTAAAATTAAAATCTCTGATAATTATTGCTTGCCAAGAGCAATATGCCATCTCCATTGGCAAAATTTTGCCTGATAATTCTCTTTACGTTCTTTTCCGCTTTAATTCGCAAGTGATTTTGATGAATCTGGCAAAGCAAAATAAACTTTAAACTTAAGTTTTTATAAAAAACTAGAAATTTCAAAATTTTGCAAACTAAAGTGTTTGGCAACATCATAAGGGAAACAAACGGCAACTCTGCCGTAAAGAACAAGAAAACAATTGAAGAAGAAGCATATTGGTTGTCAAATTTTTGCAGAAAGCCTATTTGGCTGATGCTGGTGGAAAATAGTGATTTTTCTTCATTTTATAATATTTTATTCATTTTATTTTGCCCTAGAAACCAGTACATAGTGTATTAGAAGCTGAATTTCTTCAGTTAAGTGTAAAATGGTGGAAACTGACGATGCAGCGGAGCTTCTTTTCTTTGACACCTTTTCACATGAAGTGGACACGGTAAGCGGTGATTATTTGCATGTGTTTTTTTTCGTTTCGTTTTCACCATTTAATCTTCAACTGTTATTAACCATTCGTTTTTCCAGGACATCAATCTCGATCTTGTGCAGTTTCCAAAGCCAGTGTATATCACTCAAGTGCGCATAATACCATTGGGAGCACGCGTGCAAGCCGACTTTCCCGGCGGTGTGCGCCTCGGTGCCACCAATCCCTCAAAATTTGATATTGAATTTTTCGTCAATGATTTGGGCATGCCGGGTGCCTCCACATTTGAAAATTTAGGTCAATTAAAGTATAATCAAAACGATTGCATTCATCTAGAATGTACACAAGAGAAAATACCCACTGATGGTTTGGTATTACGTGGCTGGTATAGCACAATTACTTTGGCAGTGTATGGTATACTAACCAATTCGATGACTGAACCAATTGCAAGCCCACCACCGCTACCTTGCGAACCAGCTGGTCCTGAAGAGATTTGCAATTTAAGTGGCAGTGGTGAAACGCGTGAACCAAGCTTGCTGGAGGAGACAAGCAAAGACGAATGGAAGGAACCTTTACCGAGTGAGGTGCCATCTGTACATAAAGCGAATCTTAGCGATTTTGAGCGGGATGAGTTGGAGTATGCCGGTGGGCGGAATGACCACTACCAACAATCCGGAGATGAACGTGAACGTGGCATGCGAAAGACTTCGCATTCTTCGGAGCGCTCTTTACCTTCGCGTAATCGCACGCACTCGGAGAGTAATGAAAGAGAATATTTGCGGTAGGTTAGAGAATAGTCAACATTATTTTGAGATATCAAATCAATGGACGGGAAACTAAACCCACATAACCTAAGGTTATTTCT